CCCAGCACCCGGCCGCCCCCACAGCTAGCTTTACCCAAAATAATTACACGGACACTGTATTCTTTTAAACACTGCTTGGCCCATTCTCTTCTAGGCTAATTTTCACATATTAATGTAGCCCATTTCTAATCATCTGTGTGTAGCACCCCAAGGTGCGCTTACCAGGAAGATTCTAGCCTATGTCCATCCTGGGTCGGAGCTTCATCCCGGGAGCGGGGCATGGCGTCTCTCTCAGGCGTCTGCTCCCGAGAGGAGAGCTGTCGAGACTGACCTCACTTCCTCTTCCTCCCAGCGTTCTGTCCTGTCTACACCTCCCACCTATCTTCTAACCAATAAAATGGGCCAAGGCAGTTCCTTTATTAGCCAATGACCTTCCTCCATCAAAGCACTACACAGCAAGGCTGTAAAGAGAAAACTTATTGGGTTATAGAACTCAGTATTCCTGAAGGGCCTCCATATGTCCACCATGGTTATATGTAGCATGCTTCCTTCTGGAGAAATTCCAGCATTTCCATCATGGTATTTGTTTGTTCCCATTATTTTTTTAAAAAGGATTTATTATATGGCCACGCCCCTATGCAGGAAAGCCTCCACCACGTGTGCTGTTGTCTTATAAAACTGCTAAATCAGGCTGTCTGCCCATTGTCTCCCAGCAGGCCGAGGATGCTTTGGTTAAGGAATGGGAGAAAGGAGAGAAATCCAATCACACTCACAAGGAAGAGCTTAAGTAATTAGGTACAGGCACGGCCAGCAAGGCGAGGCGATGCTTCTCAGCCAAGCACCAGCCCAGTGCGGCCATGCAATAAAGGGAATGTAGGGAATTAGGCCAGGTGCCAGGATGAGGTCTGTGTAAAAACAAAGCATCTGGAAAAATTCGAAGGCTTGACATGTCCAAGTCGAGAGGGGTCAACGCTAATAATGCGATCACAAGTGTCACTGATGTCAACCCGCTGCTAATGCAGAATTCCTTCCAGAGTGTCACTGGGCAAGTTCGTTGGTCCTCTGCTTCCCACCATAGATGAATAACGCTGAAAAGGTCTATGTAGATAGAATCCCCAGGGTCCCCACAGAATCATGAGGTATGCCTACACACCCAGGACCCCTCCACAAACATGGAACACATTTTTTTAATATCCCAGTCCACTCTGGCAAATGCCAGTGAAGGGCAATCTCTGGTTGCCTTTGTTGCCCTTTGCCCAGATAGGAGTGAGCTTCCTTCCTCTAGAAGGCACCTGGCTCTCTCCATGGAGATGAGAGACTCACTCTCTGCAGCTCTGCACCAAAGCTCCATGTTGTAGCTGTCTGATGCAGCTACCACCCATGGTATGTGTTCTCCTGCATGGACATAATGCCATCAGATTCTTCTCTTCCCAGGGCTTGGGCTTCTTCCTCCATTAACCTCTCTGTGCTAGGATACAGTCTTCTACGCACCAACACCAAGTCACGCAGATTCCACTCAGTGTTTATCGATAAGAACGCTGGTGGCATTCACACTTTAGAATAGAAAACTCGCAGCTCTGCTGTTAAAATCCCATGCTCCCCTTAAAACGGGTGAGTGTTTTACTTGCTTAATAGAACTAAATGATTCTTCTCTTAAATAAAAACTCAGAGCTACAGACTTGTCTTTGTAAAAACCGCTGTCAGGTAAATTCAAACTTTCCTACAGAGTGTGGGATTGGCGATAGGAAGAAAACATTTGCCTGGAACTCTGGGAGAAAGATGGTATACAGACTACATCCTTAATTAATTAGGTTTCTCCAGGGTTTGGAGAATGCATTATTCTTTAAAGAATAAAATAGTACATGTTGTTCTCCTGGAGTGGGGGGAAGAAGAATTCTCTGTTTAATCAAAGAAATGAAACCAGAGCTCATCACCTGTAACTCCCAGGGAGGCCATTCAGAGCGTCATCAGTTGCTGGGTGCACACAGAAACTTCCCCATCAAGCACAGAAAGCAATGGCGAGCAAATCCTGCAGGTTTGAATCTAGAAAGTTTATGTGCCTTAGGCCTCCACGAGGGGAGTGTGATTTAAAGTTATTCGGAAGAATAAAGAGAAAAAATTAAAGACACACGGAAAATGGAGAGGTAATGGAAGTCAGGAGTGGGGACTTAATCTTGTTCAAAGTTGGTAAAAGAGTGAAGTCCTTTCAATAACACCAAACCTCGCTGTGGGCTATGCCACATGGGCTGGAGGAAGGAAGCAGTTGGCCTATCGTTAATAGGGTTGGAGCGCTGTCAGAACAGTTTCCACCTGTGTGTATATGCACTCTCCTGGGTGGCTCTCTGTTACTGAAAAAACCTGAGGGTTCTGGAAGCAACAGGCCCTTTTCCAAACAGAGGCTGGTGTCATGTCCTGACCCAAGGCATAACCCTCATTACTTTTGCCACTTATCCAAATAAAACTGTCCAGATGATCAATAGGTATCCTTTATCCTGCAGAGACCACCACCCTTCTGACAAATTCTCAAAGCGTTCCCTGGAATCATGGACTCCAGACCAATCCACCGTCCCGTGGGAACTGGGTTAGGGTCCAGTGGAGATAAAAACAGGGTGTCTGGCGGGGGGGGACGTTCACCCAGGACCTTTTGTGTCACTCCTGTGACTAGCACATTACCCAAAGGGACTTGGCTCCTGCCAGCGCAAAACACAGTGCCAAATGCTTCTCTGGGGCACCGGCACTGAAGTCCAAAAATGTGTAACTCAAAGAAGAAGAAGAAGAAGAAAAGACTAGCCTTGCTTCCTAGGAACCAACTTCAACAAAACCACCAGAACAAAATACAGAACAGTAAAAAGTGGGAAGAAAAGCCTGGCCAGAAAGCTAATAAGTAAAAGATCCCAGGAAAGACTTGACCAGCGAGGAAATCTACACTCGTCACTGGGGCTGAGGGAATGGCTTACTGGGTAAAGTACTTTGCTGTGCAGGTGTGAAGACCGGAGTTCAGGTCCCAACACCCACAAAATTGCTGGCTGGGTGTGTGGTTGGCTTCTAACGGTAGCAACTTGGGAGGCAGATAGTGGGATTCCCTAGAGCAAGCTAGCCTGACAGAGATCCTGAGTTGGTGATCTCTGAGAGATCCTGCCTCAATATATAAGGTAGAGGGTAGTCACGGAAGACATCTGACATCAGCCCGTGGCCTCCATATGCACAGGTGCACACATGAATGTGTGCACATACGTGCCAAAATTTTAATAAAAAATCAAGAAGATTTTTAGATCTTACAATGTGACTATTTCTCTTAAAAGATCTAATCATTTGGCTGATCTCCATAAGGTAGACTATCTCAGCTCAGAAACGAGGAGTCAGTAACAGTACACCCAAGAAATGCTGTCCTGAGAACACTGTGGCTTCATTTGGGGCAGTGATTTTCATTACTGTTCTGATTGGTGGGATGGCTGATGAAAATGTCACAAGATGAGCCCAATCAGTCCTAGGGAGAGGCAGCTGAGGAGCCCATCCCTGTTCTGCAGGCCTGGAGAATCACCAGCTCTTTTGCGGAACAATGGGCTTCTTGGGAGTGGGCAAAGAGCCCCACCCTCAGACAGCCACAAGCCCCAAATCAACCTCCCCGAGAAGGGAAGTCTGAAAGCAGACAGAGAATTGTAGAGCATTGGCTGGTGTCCTTATTTCAGTACATGCATGCGACAAAACCATCAAAATCCAAGAACGAAAGCCAGGAGTGAGCAAGCGGACTGATAGAACAGTATGACGACATTAAATGCCCTGTGACAGGAATAGGAATAACTGCTATTCGCCACTAACTGAGCTATTTACACATCCAATAGCATTTACTGGTGGAAACAACATGGACAGTTCCTGTGATGTATTGAGTGTGTGTGTGTGGGGGGGGGGGGGATACAATGTCAATTGCTGAGATCGCTACTCTAAATAAGTCTGGTTCAGAGAAAAGCTAAAAGGAAATATCAATCTAATATCAAATATTAGGTTTCTATATCAGTTACTGAGATGGTTTTCATCTTTTTCCCGACTCTTGGGAAATAGGCGTAATAATCCTTAGTGAAAAGTGGGCTGGTAACCAACAATGAAAAGAAGAAAGGAAAAGACTTATAACTATTAACATTTTCCATATTATACAGGAAATCCAAAATATTGAAATTTTGGGGCTTTGGCAAAGTTGTCTAAATATCAAAGAAGCAAATGTCTGAGGTTCGTGGCAAATATGAGCTTTTATTTCCAAATGCCTCTCAGGATTCAGGTCACTGTGAAAAGGTCACAAAGGGAAACACCTCTAACAGGAGAAGCCTCATGCCTTGTGTCTGGGTAAAGAACACCCTGGAGGCAGCATGCACGCAGGAGAAAAGTCCACGCAGGCTAAAGCAGACTCACAGGGCAGCAGCCATCAGGGCTGACCTAAAAGGTGCTCTCCAAATGACACCTGGACTCTTACCTGCATGTGTGTTTTTTCTCTAACTCACTTGTTGCCATCACCTCGATGCTGTCCAGGCTCCACCTCCGCCGTCTGCAGCTCTTTCACCCACTCTAGAAAAGGCTCTGATGAATGCCCTTGGGGTTCAGGTGTTGAAACCCCATAGAAGAGTTAGCAGACCAGGGAAGAGGGAGGGCACAGCCAGTAGCCATGCAGCTGCCCAGGGAGAAGCCATCGCTGTCTTGCAGACAGCTCATGCCTTCACCCAAAGCAAAGCTCACGGGAGAGTCAACTTCCACAGAGAAGAATGTCTGCGGGCCCTGTGCAAGACTTAAGGCAGCAGAGTCATCAGGGTTCATCGTCAGTATTCTGCCTTCCATCATCTTTCCTGAAGGGTCCTGTTGTTTGCTGTTTCTATAAAAACCCTACCCAGCTATCCTCCGGAGCCATTGTCCATGAGGAGTGACACAAAGAATTGTCATCCATTTAGATCCACTTCCAGGATGCTCTTGGATTCTGCTTTAAGGGAGTTGTCCGAAGTCCCGAAGTCCCAGGGTGCCTCCCTGCTACCCTCCGCCATTTTGCACCTACCTCTCTGTTTCCTCACCAACCTCAGGTGGTTCGGGACCAGATCTCGCACTGCACGGTGAAGCTGCGCCAGACCACGGGCCTCATGGAGTACTGCTTGGAGGTGATTAAGGAGAACGATCCCAGCGGCTTTCTGCAGGTCAGTGTTTACTAGGGCTTCCTCCTGGTTCAGATGCGCCCCGGCACTGAGTGGAGGATAAGCAGTCCCGCAGCCTGGCTTCAAGTGTCCCTCAATAGCAGAACCTCCCTGTATACTCAGTTAAGTGTAGGAGAGCCTGTTGGAGAACGCTGACTTCCTGGAAGTCTCTGGCACCCTATGCTACAAGACTAAGAAGTGCATGGGCTGGTGTGTGCTTTAGTTCCTGTGCTTAACTCTGTTGTTTCTTCCAATTATAAAGTGCTATAGTGTAAGCTAGGATTTACTTATGTTTTGGTACCAACGACAAGGGGCTTCTTAACTAAGCTAGGGCATCTAGATCTCCTCCAGTTCGTGTTCTGCAGACCGCCAAGAGCGACAGATGGGGCTGAGTGTAAGAAAGGGAAGAGGTCCCTTCCAAGGAGTCAAGTGGGAGTCCCATGAAGATGACGCACTTAGGCTGGAAGAGGATGTGTAGTGGCCTCTGGCTTGCATACCTCATTCCCGAGTCTTGTCTGGCTGCCCACACCTTTGTATGGAAGGGTGGATGGAGCCTTTGATCCTATAGAACAAATTGATTTCCAGTGTATCATTTTCTTCAGCGCTGTCCACATTTGGAGCTCAGTAGTAAATGCATGTGTGTATTCTAGGCGTATCTTCTCATCGATGAAGGTCTTAATTATTTACAGTGGCCTCCTTCCAACTCAACAAAAAATGTCCAGATCTGCTTCAGAAACTGTGGGCAACCCTAGTCAGGACACAGACATTCTCACCGAGCACCTGAGATGGGAGAAAGCTTGAGGTCCTTGCTGTTCGGTGGCAATGTGTAACGGCGTAAACGAATGCAGACAGATTGTAAAAATATGTATCGCTTTAATGGCGAAATAGACTTACAGAACCACCGTTCCCGCGGAGACCAGGAAAGCAGAAAAGGGTCGGCTGGGAGCACGCTTGCCAAATTTATAGGCCAACATTAGCCCAAGGCGAACACGCCCCCTAAGGGGCGGGACTTATCCCTACAGCAATGCTTAGAGTCCAGGAGCAGCATTGGGGTTTGAATGTAACGCTGTGTTTCTTACACTGTGGTCTTTGATGCGATTAGATTTCAGACGCCCTCATCAGGCGAGTCCACTTGACTGAGGACCAGTGGGGGAAAGGCACGCTCACCCCCCGGATGACCACGGACTTTGACTTGAGCCTGGACAACAGCCCCCTGCTGCAATCCATTCACCAGCTGGACTTTGTGCAAGTGAAAGGTGAGTTCTCATGTCCCCAGAGTCGGCGCTGTCCTGAGCAGATGCTGCTGCTTGAAGCGGGGTGGGTGACCCCGTGATGAAGGTTATAGCGTCCAGATGGGCCTGGAGAAAGGGGCTCAGAAGCACTTGCTGTTGGGCGTGGTGGTGTACTCCTATAATCCCAGCACTCACCAGGTGGAAACAGGCAGTCTGTGAGTTCAAGGCCAGCCTGGTCTACTACTGAGCTCCGGATAAGACAAAATTAGAATAAAAAAGAAAAATCAAAAGAGGAAGAAGGGAAGGGGGATGAAGAAGAGAAAGAGAAAAGAAAAGGAGCATGGTCTGCTCTTGCAGAGGATCCATGTTCAGTCCCCAGCACCCACTCCAGGTAGCTTACCTGTACCCACGCTGGCGTCTGAGGGCCCTGGCACACACACACGGCACACATACACTCGAATAAAATCTTTTTAAAATCTAGAGCGACTCTCACCTATGCAGGGGAATGAAAACACCTCCATTTTAGCTGTGTGAGCTGAGCAAGTCTGATAAACTCAGATATACTCAACCCTGGAGAATTCACGTGTCAGCAGCAGAGCCATGACAACACAGAGACAGTCAGAAGGGAGGTCACTGTACACAGCTAAGACCTTCCCACAGTGAGGCCTGCATAGTGCCGAATGCCACGGAGACCTGGCCTTGAAATGAAAGCGTCCTCTCGGCGGGAGGGAGAGAGCAAATGAAAGAGAGCTGGAGAGGACGGCTGGAGGCTGGGAGAGAAATGACAGTGAGACAAACTTACCATTAGATTATAGAACTAAAGTACGTGGCGAGGTCTGGTTGAAGATTTTTTTTTTAAGTTGGGCACCAAAAGGAAGTATAAGTACTTATGATTAAAAACACAAGTCAGGGGGGGCTGGAAAGATGGCTTGGGGGTTAGTTCCAGCAGCTACATGGTGGCTCACAACCATCTGTAATGAGATGTGGCGCCCTCTTCTGGTGTGCAGGCATACATGCAGGCAGAACACTGTATACATAATAAATAAGTGAATCTTAAAAAAAACATACAAGCCAGCTATGCAGTGGTATTTTTTATGGCAGTGTCACTAACCCACCTGAAGACTATTTCTGACTTTTTTAACTTCATGTTTTTGACATACGTAAAGTCATACAACTATCACCACAATCGAGATAACAAACTATTCCAAAGCCAGGTGAAAAGGTGGAGGAGGTCTCTGACCCCAGCAATGAGGAGACCATTGCTCAAGAACTAAGCAGCAAGGCAACCCTCCATCACACACCAACCTGCCCCCATCCTCAAACCCGTGACAGCTACTGCTCTCTCCTCCAACTCTGCCACTTTTAACACTTTCTGACCTTTTGTGAAAACGGAAGAAACTGGGCCATGCATGGTGGCTCACGGCCTACTCCCAGCATCCAGGGGGCAGAGGCCTGTGAGTTCCAGGTTAGCCAGGTCAGCACAGCACATTCCAGGTCAACAAGTATCACATCGTGAGACACTGTATCAAACCAAGCAGATACAAACCTTTCAAAAATGAAAACAATGCTTGTCAGGGCTGCAGAGGAGACTTGGCAATTAAGAAGCTTGCTGCTCGTGCAGAGGGCCAGTTTGGTTCCCAGGACCCACAGCAGGCAGGTGACAAAGCCACCTGGAACTCCAGCTCCAGAGGAACTAATATCTCCTGGTCTCCTTGGGCACTGTCTTCTCATGCACGAACCCACACACATACACATAAATAAATACAAGTAAAAGCTTTTCCTAGCTGGAGAAATTGATTTGCATCCTTCACCTCTTAATTTAAGCATACATGTAATAAATGAGTCTTAAAAGTAAATACTTTGCAAATTATATATGGTAGGGGCAAATTCTACCTGCTTCTCTGCTTATCAAACAGACTTCTATAACCAGAGAGGTTATAGTTTTAGTACTGTTAGTGCTTCCGTCGTGTGGGTGAATTCATCTGTGTGTTTGGCGCATCTCCTTTTCATGACCCTTTGCTCTTGGTTTCTCGGCTTCCTCATTTTTTTTTTTTTTTTTTACTGATAGGCACTCATTTGAGATGACACCTTAACCAACTTTTAAACTGCTGTATAGATTGTAAGCTAAAATGCCTCATGTAATAAAAAATGAGGACATTTACAGGATGTTGACGAAACCAGACATTATCCCAAGTGCAGCTGATTTTCTTCACTTCCATTTATTCCCGCAGTCCTAGAGGTCAACTGAAGAAATTGGGAGCACAGGAAACGTATGTTACAGAAAATGGTGGGGCTAGGGTTCACCCCTTCCTGACAGGAAGTAGCTTCATTACACACTAGTATCCTTCCCAATCTATTCTACAAAACTAGTGTATCCCAGAGTAGCTTCTTGGGGAAATATCTCATTTACTTTCATACATTTAGTTGTGTGTGTGTGTGTGTGTGTGTGTGTGTGTGTGTGTGAATTACAACAATCTTTTACCGCTGTTTAAAATCTTCTCTGACACCTACATGGCAAAGTCAGTAAACCATCTCTTGCAGAATATAGAACCTCGGGTTAATTGCCCCCAGCCAGACTCTGGCTATCCCCAATTCTTTCAACAAAATAAAAGTTATGTCTCATGTAACATAAAAAGGCAGAGCAAAGAGGGGGAAAATGTACCAACCCAGTTCACGTTGGTACTAGAGCAGGAGGAAGGGAAAGTTCAAAAGTAGAAGAAGCCTTTTGAATGTTTTGGTCAGCGGCAGGGCAGTCTGCCCCCACACTCGCTGCTCTTTGTGTCTGGTCCACCCATCTGCCTGCTATGGTGCCCAGGGTAGGTGGCAGAATGAACCTGCCTGTTCAGTGAGCCGCTCCTGAGAGGGTACGAGAGCTGAGATCTGTGTGCTGGGCATCAGGGACCACATTTCCAAGAAGAGTCCCGTTTTCACTTAGCAGTTCACACAGAGTTGAAAGTGGAGAAAGCTGTATTTTGACTGTTCAGTGTGTGCACAGGCAGCAGAGAATGCCAACCACACTAAAAGCTAAAATGTAGACCACCCCTACGTGCAGCCACTGACCTGACATGCCCGGCATCCAGAACAATTCCTTATGACATTATGAGACAAGACCATTCGGTGCGACAGCAAAATTTCTGTTTAACACCTCACCTTAATTTAATTCGTTTTTGATTATTTCCTCTCTGCCTTGTTAATTTATGTGTCTTGCTTTGTGCTCATTAAGTTTAACCAATTCAGTGAGAGCCCGGTCCTGTTCCGTCGGAATAATTTTTGCCTGTCAGATAATTGTGACGCAAAGAAAAGGCCAAGGTTGTGATGCAGGCTCAGTTGATTGGCTGTAGTTGAACCCACCCCGCCCCCACCCCTGGGATGTTTGTTAGCACAGGGACAGTTGCTCATAGTGTACTGTTAGCTCGTTCATTTTCTACAGGAATTCTTAGACCACCTAACGAACGGCCCTTTGACAATTTGTCAGGAAAAATATTCCCCCAAAACTTAAGTCCAAGTACAAAAGATGCAAATTAAATAGTGTTTGAAATAATATTAACATAATCTGACCATTATGAAATAACCCTATCATGAGATACATATTTTTAACAATGTTACATGGGCATAGTAGAAACTCAAAATATTTTTAAGTAACTTAAAGTATGCCTTTAAACTTCTGGCACTTTTATGCAGAAAATATCCGCTTGCTTCTTGACAAAAAGGAATTCGAATCTTCCTGGTTTTGAAATCTTGTCCGAGATGTTCATTTTGTTTGCTGTGGAAGGAGATGGGTCTTCTGTGAGTGCCCACAGGTTTCTACCCAGGCAGCTGCTGCTTAGCAAGAATTCATCTACTGGGCTCACTGCCACCCCGAGCAGGTGAAGTCCCTCTAGAGAACACTGGGCTTCTGTTGTGCAGCTGCCTGAATTGTTCTGGTATGCTTCTAGGTGTCCCTTGATTAGAAGATCACTTCACCTTCTCTCCAAACCTTTGGGAGTGATGTTTGAGCGCCTTGTCTTCAATTGTATAAAAATGACACGCCAAGTTTTGTCTCCTGCTTTTATGAGAGATCGTTTTGTGAATATTTCTCCAAGTTCTCAGTTGGTATTGTCCACTCTCTCCTGGGTCATGGGAATAGAATTTTCAGAGTCCTTTTGTGGTCTTCCAAGGTTCTGCTGTATGGGTAAGAACAGGCTTTTCCTGAAGAACATTACCCTAAAATCATGTGAGCACAGAGGACATTTAAGGCGTGTCGCTAAAATCGATCGTCTGCATGTTAAATCCATACCAGGACGAAGCTGTGACCTAAAGCTCTTACCAGCCTTTTACCACATAAGACCAAACGGTTGTTAATTTCTTTAAGTGCCTCTCCTCCCATGAGGACAAATTAATCTTCACTAACTCCCCTTGAATGCAATAGCTCTTGTTATGTTCCAAGGTCATAGTCAAGGACAGAGTGATCTGAACAGACGCCCCTTTGTGTCGCAGGGAGAGGGCTGGCAGAGATGGGTTAGCAGGCACATGTGCACAGGCAATCTGTTCACATGCAGAGGTTTGGGGACTGAAATGAATGTCCTCAGAACATGTGTGGTTCATCCTCCCCTCGTGGACCAGCCATAACTTTCTAGAAATGCCCTGCATTTAACCTAAAGCAGTGGTTCTCAACCTTCCTCACACTACGACCCTTTCATACAATTCTTCATGCCATGGTGACCCCAGCCATGAAATTATTTTGTTGCTACTTCATGACTGCAATTTTGCTACTGTTGTGAACTGTAATGTAAATATTCGATATGTAAGATATCTGATATGCGACCCCGAGGGGGGTCACGAACCACAGGTTGAGAAGTGCTAAACTTAAATGCCACTCATATTGTTCAGTCCCCACAGAGGAGAACCAGTGGCCAACAGAGAAGGCCATGCTGTGCCATGGCATTCCTGGTTCCAGACCAGAAATAGATATCTGAGTTGCCTATTTAACATATCAAAGTGGACTCTGGCTGCCAGGTTCTCCCTGAATCCCTCAGTCCCTTACCTGTTATAGAGCCCTCCTGGCTGGCATACCCCACCCCTTACCCTAAACTTCTCCAGCCCAGGGCTTCCCCCAGAGGCTCTTCCCTATATAATCCAGTCATGTTGGTTACCACCCTCCTGGCTGCTATGCCTGTTGGACCCCCTCTCTTTTCCCTTCCCCTTCCCCTCACATGGCTCAGGGTCATGTCCACTCTGAACCCTCCCAGATGTCCCTGTCTCTAGCTCTGCTCTCCCGTATCTCACATGTCTCCTACAAACCTCCTCCTCCATACCTAGGAGCCCTCACGCTCCTTTTCCTTTTTATTTGCTTTTTCCATTCATTTGGTGATGAAACCTGGGAGCAGCCATGCTCCTTTCCTTTCCTTTCTACCTCTCCTTTCATTTGCTGACCACTGTAGCTCTGAATGGGAGCTACTTCAACAATGACAGCAGTAATGCTTAGGGCCTTTGCCACCCCTGATATAGGAAACAGAAACATCTGGAATGAGACGTGGAGACTTTGCTCCAGTACAGAATTCCCATGACCCAGCTGCAGGAGCAGCTGATGACATGCCACGCCCACACCTCAGAGCCAACCTGCTAGACTTCAGGTCCTAATCTCATCATTTGGTAGCCGTGAAGCCTCCGGGTTTCAGTTTCTTTGTCTAGGAAACAGATATAAGAAGAGGGTGGCTGTGAAAAATCCCACAGATTGATGCATGGAAGCCTCTACCAGCCAAGTACTCATAAAATGTTATTTAGGGTTTGTGGTCCCAGTGGGAGTGGGAAGTTGGTTTCCTTTCTCCCTTGTCCTCATCACGTTGCTGTTGGTTTCACAGAGGAATTCGGGAGGCTTGTTAGTGCTCATGACCTGAAGAAGAAGAGGGAGAACTTACATAAGGAGCGAGCTGCCTTTAAATGATGAGATCTGAAAGCAGTTGCAGAAGGAACTGTTCTAGAACAGAGCCCCAAGCATGTTGTATCCAAGAGAACTTGGAGTCTGTAGTTTGTGCTTATAATCAAGAGAATATCAAATGCTACAATTGTGATCAGACCAAGAGAGACCAATTGCAAAGGGAAAGCCAAAAATGTCCCAGAATGAACACAAGAAACAAAGACCAAAACAACTAGGGAAGCCCCACACACAGTAAAGTGAAGCATTCTTAGACCTCAGCCCTGAAGCTGCTTTTGTGCTATATGGCTAATCCATAAAATACAGAATGATTGAAAATACTTTGCATTTCTTGTAGACCACGCATTTATTTCATACCTAATAAAATGAAATAAAGTGACATAACACCTACCATAAAAATCTATTTTTATAAATGTCAACCCTGAATCTTAGCTAATGTGGCTATAACTTTGACATGCTTGCTTTTTATATATTACATCATTTTGGGGGTAAATACAGAATAGATAAAAATGAAAAAAAAAGTTCTTAGCACGCTGGGAACCAGAATCAGACATGCAACAGATTTCAGTGTAGCTATGCTGGTGTCCCTGTGTACTGCTCTGCCCCTGCATGCTTAGCTCAGTTCCTTGTCATTTAAATCTGAGACAATATTGAGATCTGAACCTAGTGACAGCTTTATTTCTATCTTTTCTTTCACAGTCTTCCTACTGGGCACTCAAAATGAAGTTCCAGTATTTTAATTATATCCGGCATTGTGTATTTCAATTAATCACTTAATGATGCCTTTGTCTAATAGAGATTCTTGTTTCTGCTCAGACATGGCAGGCATTTGTATGATTTAGGTTGAAATCATTTTATTAACTTATTAATTGATTCTGTAATTGAAGAAGTGTAAGAAATGTACACTTGCCTGCAGCATGAAGGGAGGAAAATGAAAGATTGATAAGCAGCTAATGAGACAGACAGTCCAAGGAATGGATTTATGACAGACCTAATAGAATAAACTTCCCAGAGAAATTCATCCATGTCTCCAGAAGCTCTCTGAACAACAGTTTGGCTAAATTCCAACATAAATATAAAATATGTATTCCTTTTATAAGGAAAACATATTTTTTATTTTTTATTGATTTTATTGAACTATACATTTTTCTCTGCTCCTCTCCCTTCCTTTCCCCCCCTTCAGCCCTCTCCCATGGTCCCCATGTTCCCAATGTACTCAGGAGAACGTGTCTTTTTCTACTTCCCATGTATATTAGATCTATGTATGTCTCTCTTAGGGTCCTATTGTTGTCTAGGTTCTCTGGGGTTGCGAATGGTAAGCTGGTTTTCTTTGCTTTATGCCTAAAAGCCATTTATGAGTGAGTACATGTGATAATTGTCTTTCTAGGTCTGGGTTACCTCACTCAATAATGATGAGGAAACATATTTTTAATAACAAAACCTTCACACACTAATAGACTTCAAACCGGCCCCCCAGCAGCAACACCAAGTGATGCCTGTTCCTATGTGGGTGCTCACTACAGCCTTTGGGAGTTATGTCTTCTGTCTCCTTTTCTCATCTAGTCCTGTACTTCGCTATTAAACTAGGCGATGACTTTCTCTCCTTTCCCCCAAATTCAGAGGCTCTGGGCCCCCTATGGGTGCAAAAGCCACAGGTCTTTTGGAAGATCCTGTTCTATAAGCCATTGAAATGTGAGACTTCCCATCCTAAAATGGTCTCCTCCAATTAACTACTCCTTGATTTAGCAGCTCAGATGTAGTTTCATTGAAAGTCTTGTCCGAAAAAAAAAAAAAAGAAAAGAAAAGAAAAGAAAGTCTTGTCCTTCACATCATGTGTGTTGTAGCTGCTTTTGTCTCCTAGGTCGCCCACCATAGACCCTGCTTCCTGAATTGCTGTGAAATCATCATTGTCCTGGTTGGAATGACTGACAGAAACATTTAACTCAGTGCATAACCCACCATGCCCAATGGTGGTACAGCACACCAGGCATTCCATAATTGATATTTGCTCATTTAAATGCCCCTGAACATAATTTCCAACCTGTTTTCTCCTGTTTTTAAAGTATAGAGCCAGGAGAAATGTTCTGGGGCTAATTTTTTAAAAAATGTTGCTAAGGGAATGGAGAAATGGCTCAGTGATTAGAAGCTCTTGCAGAAGACTTGAGTTCAGTTCCCAGAACCAATTCAGGGCCTCACAACTGTCTGTAGCACTACTTCCATGGTATCTGACACCTCCTTCTGAGCTCCATGGGCACCAGACATGCAAGGGGTGTACATGCATACATGCAGGCAAAACACTCATACATGTAAATAAAAAAAATACTTAATTTTAAAAAATATTTTTGAAAACATTGCCTTCAGCTACATATATTGAGTTCCTATATTAGGAACTGGGATTGTCAACTAGCATGTGTCTGAAGATTCAGCTACTTAATGGTTTTAAATAATATAAAAGAATCAGTCTAAATTATAGAGGGTTGTTAACTCAGTTGGTTCTCATAAGACTTGGAAACATCCAGAGTCCCTGTCACACTGAGATCTGCTCCTGGGCACCTGGGCTCCCAGCCAACTTGTTCTATACCTGAAAAGCAGGGTACTTGACCTCTCACTGTCCCAAGTGACAGCTGCCATGAAAATATGAGGTCAGGTTCTTCACAAGTTTCAAATCGAGTGACACTTGTATCCCTTAGTACCAAGTTTCAAAAATACACAGCTGTTATTGTTTATGGGAAAAGATCTGGAAGAC